GATGAAAACTAGACTATTGGTGGTGAACATGATGCAGTCTATAAACAGCTGAAATATAATAATGTACACCTGAAATTTACACCATGTCATAAATCATTGTGATCTCAATAGAATTATTAAAAAAGGAATAACAACTGTAATGGATTATGATTCAGAGATTAAATGAGAATCTGTGAGGTCCAGCCTGGTGGCACAGAGGTTAAGTGTGCACACTCTGCTTTGGCGGCCCAGGGTTCGCAGGTATGGATCCCAGGAGTGCACCAACACACCATTTGTCAAACCATGTTGTGGAGACATCCCATATAAAGTAGAGAAAGATGGGCACAGATGTTAGCCCAGGGCCGATCTTCCTCAGCAAAAAGGGGAGGATTGGCAACGGATGTTAGCTCAGGGCTGATCTTCCTCACACACACACACAAAAAAATAAAGAGAGAGAATCTATGAATCCATAATGATATATATAAATTAAAAAAAATAAATGGTAGAGAAGGGAAACTTCTCTCTTACAGAGAACAAATACATGTAGAATGATAGATGGAATGAGAAAAATCACCTTTTGGCTGCCACAATTAAAATGATTGTTTCAGGGGGCCGGCCAGGTGGCTTAGCGGTTAAGGGCGCCCGTGCTCCGCTACTGGCGGCCCAGGTTCCGATCCCGGCATGCGCCCACGCACCGCTTGTCGGGCCATGCTGAGGCAGCATCCCACATGCAGCAACTAGAAGGATGTGCAACTATGACATACAACTATTTATTGGGGCTTTGGGGAGAAAAAGGGAAAAAAGGAGGAGGATTGGCAATAGATGTTAGCTCAGGGTGGATCTTTCTCAGCAAAAGGAGGAGGATTGGCATGGATGTTAGCTCAGAGCTGATCTTCCTCACAAAAGAGAAAAAAAAAGTATTGTTTCCAGCAAGAATCACTTGATTCTTATTAAGTGGGATGTTATATGTAGTGGTTGAAATTTTGAAGAGCTGTAGCACGTTTATATAGTCTCAAAATATCTACTCAAGTTATATTTATTAATTTCAAAGGTAAAAATGGTAACTTTACAGTAGAGAAAACTGGTAGACACTACCTTAATCAATTGACCAAGATTAAAACCTCTGGTAATTGGAAAAATTATCAGGTGCCTTTTGATATTGGGCACTGTGGTATACCCACCAAAGATCTATAGGCTGAGTCTGAGATACATGCATACTTACACAATAATAAAGCAAACATGGTTAAATATTAACTTTTGGGAAATCTGGGTGAAACATATATGAGAAATTTTTGTATAATTTTTACTTTTCCATAAGTCTGACATGATTTCAAAATAAAAAGTTAAAAAAATTCTTTGCTGAAAATTACTCAGTGAGAGAGAATAGAATATCCTACAGATCTATCTCTAAATTTATAGTTGACATCCAGGCAGGTAAATATGATCTTCTAAAGTATTCTCCTCGTAGCTCCTGTCAGAGATCGAATATGAACTGCTAAACCATGGGCAGGGCACAGGAAAATAATTCTATAGAATGTCATCCCTGCTCTTTAAGAGATTACAGTCTCTAAAATGAAACTGTAGAGGCAATTTTACACAAAGAAAAGTAGCATGTCTGAAGAATAAAACATATCAGCATATTTGCTATCCACAAATTGGCAGACAAATGTGTAACTAGAAAATGTTGTCTATATCCACGTGTGGCAGATAGTTTCTACTTGCCCCTCCAGGTCCCTTCTCCAACCTTCTCCATCCTGTTTTGTCTCAGGAGTCTGACCTTTATGGACTGTACCAACTGGGCTCCTTGGCCCTTTGGATTTGGCCAATGGAAACACAATGAAGAGATCAAATGCAGAAGGAGAGAGAGGTTGGGGCATTGATTCTGTTTTCCTCCCTGCTGGACCGTGGGTTGAGAATGGCCAGCCACAGCTCCTGTCCAGGGGTCCTCTCCTACTGCTACATGTCTCACCAGGTTCTCATAACCACTCCCTCCCCTATCATGTGTTTCCCACTGCTGCTAGCCCTCGGTGCCTCACCATCCCTTAATAGTTTCCCTTAAACTTGCCAACACCTTTGCAAACAAGCCATTATGACATCTTTAAAAAAAATCCTTTGTCCCAGCTGGAACCATGCCCAAAAAGAAAGGCATTGTTGACATCAGAGACTCCGTGCCCTGGGACTCCAGCCCCTCTGGTTCCTGGACACATGGTTCCCCAAAGGGAAGAAAGAACTTGGCCAATTAGCCTACAGAGGCTCCTCCCTGACCCAGAAGCCTGGGGACATTGTTCCTGTCCTGTTTCTGGTACTCAAAACATTATCTTTTTGCTCATAGCTCCAGAGTTGGCTAAGGAACGTGAAAATCTGGAGAAGTGCTGAGGCCACAGATATTCTTCTTTTCATCTGGATACTGACTCTCCTGAAGAGAAGCTGAGGATTTGGGCAACAGTCTGTAGCAGAAGGTGTCTGAACTCACCCACAACAAACACAGGTCAGAGGGAGCTGGAAATCTGCACTTGGAGATGGATCTGCCTCTGTGTTTTTGTATTTGTATATAAGTATCTCTGTGTTCGTGTGTGTGTGTGTGTGTGTACACATATGCTTGTGTTCATGTTGTTTGATAGTTGTATGTGTGTGTGTATACTATGTAACTTACTCAAAGCCTGATTCTTTACCTGAGTTAGACTCAATCTGGGCTCTGTTTTAGCATGTGTAGAGCAAGTTATCAGCCTCCTAACCTGTGATTAGGGATCCCTGAATCATGTCTGTGATCTTAAATATTTGCCGCCTGTTGTCATGAGGGGACATTTCCTGCAATGGGCAGGCATCACAGCTGAGCAGTTGAGAGCTCAGCCTTGGGAGTGAGATTGTTTTCCTCGCTGCTGGAGAAAAAGATGCCTGAACTCACCAAGGAACCCAGGTCAGAGAGGACTCAAACCTCTGCTCAGCAGTGTGCTAGTCTATGTGCCAGCTGCGTTTGTGAGTAACACACTTGTGTGTGAAAGCAGGAATTGTTTGCCTTTGTCTGTGTTTATTTTACCACGTGCCTGAGGTGGTGGTGGTTTAGTGATGTGCCTGTGTGAATAGGCTTAACAGTCCCATGCTGACTGCCTTGCCACAGGAAGAGTATCAGTCAGAAGGGGCCAAAGCATGCCTGTCAGTTCTGGGGGTGTGTGTCCTTCTTGTAGCGAGTGTGTGGCTGGGTGTGCATGCGTGTTGTTTCTTGTGAGGTTTTTGCATTGTGTGTTGTTGGTGATGTGTGTGTATAGTGATACATTATGTATATGTGGTGAGTTGAGTGTTTACCAGGTGTGTCATGTGTCACGTGTGTTGATGTGCATTGTGAGTGAGTTTGTGGGTGAATGGTACATCATTGTGGGTTGTGTATGTCTCACTTTGTGTGTTATTTATGACTTGTATGTGTGTATATGAGTGTTGATGAACTGAACCACATACTGGCTCTCCTTCCCTTAGGATGGGAGCTGGTCAGGTGACTGGAATCTTCACATCAGTAGTGTATGTGTGTTTGTGATTTGTATGTGTGTTTGGGGCTTCTGATTTTCCACCATGACTTAAATATTTCCTCCAGTGCCTTCCTCTGGAGCACCATTGGCTGAGATAATCTAAGCTCCAAGCAACTCCTTGTTTCTGAAATGGATCTGCTATGATTTTCATATATCTGAGTGTGACTGAGTCACTTAGAATGTTTTAACCTTTTGCTTAATGTCCCAGGCAAAGACCCCTTAGTGTCATGCTGTGTGATGTTAGAGTGCAGAACCCCCACCAATGACGGTGTGACCTTGGGAAAATCACTTAACTCCTTGGCCTCAGTTTTCAACCTTTAAAATGGAAGCAATTACACTTGCCTCATGAAACTTACAGGCCCTCAATAAATATTTATTGTTTGAATAAATGATAAGCAATATGAGAGTCTTTCGTCAATTGGGAAAGAGATCAATATAAATGAAGAGAACAAATGACGGGGAAAGTTTCCATGTACGGTGGTTAAGAACACAGGCTCTGATCACACAGTCATATTATATAGAACTGCATGAAGTAGTCAATATGTTGTAATTTTTAACCTACTGAAAATGGTAATATATATAATTTATATATAAATATATGAAATTTCTATCATTTATGTTTCTGTTTCTTAAGAGCTAAAAATAGGTGAAAGAACATTCATTCTTAGAGCAGCTGGAGAGATTTTTTAAATATAGGAATCTAAGGCTGATGTGTGTATTTAATTAGGAAGTGAGGGCAAAGTCCTTTGACTAGTACTCAATGTTCACCATTCTTCTGAAAGAGTTCGTGGACTATTCTGGTTTGGGAGCTATTCTGGCATCAAGCACCACCGACTTCTAGAGGGATCGTGAGTTTACAGCTCTAGGTCACTGGGACCTGGCTGGGATCACAGGAGGAATGTAACAACACTAAAACAACACCAACTCAGCATTGGATTCTCAAGGTACTTTAAGGCAGAAACAACTCATCCCAGTTTGTGGAGGCTCATCTACTATTTCTGCCACAGTGAATTATTACAATTTGGCTCTGTCGTGTAGTGAGTTATCTCTCTATGCTCATCAAGATCTACACTCACAGAGGGCAGGAAATTTGCCTTTCTTGTTCACTGCTGAATTCTCAGTTCTTCGTAGAGGTCCATGTTCAGACTCAATGTTCAGTAAATATTGGTTCAATGAAACAGGGAACACGCTCTTACTTCTGTGCAGTGAGGTCCTGTTGGCTGCTTTTAAGTGTGATGTTTTCCGGAAGCAAACTGGGACAGAACGAAGAGGCATGCATCCACAAGTGTGAAAAAGTAATGAGTGTATATAAAATTTCATTGTTTTCTCAGAGAATTACCTTATGACATATGATGGTCCTGATCAACCTTTCTAGGTTCCTGAGATTCCCAAACCTTCTTCACCCCCAGGATCTAAAAGAGCACTGTGAGGCCTAGAGAACCAGAGCAGCATGTCAGAGTTCTCCTCCTGGGGCTCCCCATCCCAGTGGAGCAGCAGGACATGTTCTTTGCCTTGTTCCTGGACGTGTACCTGATCACGGTGCTGGGGAACCTGCTCATCATCCTGTTCATCAGGCTGGACCCTCACCTCCACACCCCCATGTACTTCTTCCTCAGCCACTTGGCCTTCTCTGACACTTGCCTTTCATCTGTCACAGTTCCAAAGATGCTCATGAACATACAAACTCAGCAACGGTCCATCGCCTATGTGGGGTGCATTTCTCAGATGTATTTTTTTATAGTTTTTGGTTGTCTTGACAATTTCCTTCTTGGAGTGATGGCATATGACAGGTATGTGGCCATCTGTCACCGACTGCACTATACCACCATCATGAGGCAGGAGCTGTGTATCTCATTAGTAGCTGGGTCCTGGTTCTTCTGTTGTGCACATGCTCTGTTGCATACCCTCCTCTTGGTCCAATTGTCCTTTAGTGCTGACAATACCATCTCCCACTTCTTCTGTGACCTCACTGTGCTCCTGAAGATGAGCTGCGCAGACACATCCCTCCATGACCTGGCCATCTTCACCGAGGGAGGAGTGGTTTTCATTCTGCCTTTGAGTAGTGTCTTGGGATCTTATATCCGTATAGTGATGACCGTCCTGATGGTTCCCTCCACCAAGAGACTCTTTCAAGTCTTTTCTACCTGTAGTTCCCATCTCTTTGTGGTGTCTTTATACTATGGGACCATTGCAGGTGTTTATTTTTTCTCCTCATCATGGGGCTCCAATGACAAGGACATAATTGCTTTAGTCATGTATGTGGTAGTTACCCCTATGCTGAACCCATTCATCTATAGCCTCAGGAACAGAGATATAAAACAAGCTCTAGAAATATTTGTCAATAGGGCTAATTTCTTTAAGGGACGATCACTAAATCCTTTTATTGAAGTCATGAGCAGACTAAAATGTATCTCCTAATGTTATTGTGTGGTTGACAACTCCACATAGCTTTAACATTGTTAACAGAGTAAAGTTGTGTTTTGCTCTTTTATGTAGATTGACAATCACTATATTTCTGGAGGATTTGATCGATTAACATCTAATGGCATCATGATAAATTTGAATTTATATTTTCCATATTACTATATCTTTTCTCCTTGAGACATCTGTTTCATATTCATTCTCTCTTCTTTTGCCCTTTTTATTATTTAAGAATACATTTTGTTACTCTGCTCCCCATCTATTAACTTATTAATCATACATTATTATTATTCTGTAGTTTATTCTGTGCTTTACATTGAGATTACTTCTTACATTCTTATTTTTTTAATTGTGGTATAATATTCATAACATGAAACTTACTGTTTTAATCACCCGAAGTATACAATTCAGTGGCATTTAGTACATTCATCACCACTATCTCATTTGAGGAGTCCAAAGGGAATCTCTATGGAACTTCAATGCAATTAATTTCTTTGCTGCTGTGAAAAAATAATGAGAAAGAAATCTATGAGTCAATATGGATGGATTTCCAGGATATATTGTTAACTGCAAAAACCTAAGTGTAAATAAGCATCTGTAGCATGCTATTTTTTGTGTAAAACTGAAGGGAAAATAAAATATACATGTATCTGCCTTTTGAGCAAAAAGAAACACAAGAAGAATAAATTAGAAACTAATGAGATTTCCAACTTACAAGAGGTAGGTGAGAATGGGGTAAAAAAAATGGGGAGATGGGTCTATTTGTATCTATAATTTTGACTATGTTATCTTTTACCTACTAAAAAAATAAATGAAAGAGGGTGAGGAATATAGTAAAATATAATAAAATGATACAAATGAACCCAAATATATTTCAAATTAACGCCATAATTAGACTACAGGAGACAATGAAATAACTAACCTAAGTAATTCTTGAACACAGAATTTTGTCTGTATACTCTCACAATAGAGACAAACTATAAACAAAGTTTTTTTTTGTTTTGTTTTGCTTTTTTGTGAGCAAGATCAGCTCTGAGCTAACATCCATACCAATCCTCCCCTTTTTTTGTGGAGGAAGACTGGCCCTGAGCTAACATCCGTGCCCATCTTCCTCCACTTTATATGGGACGCCTCTACAGCATGGCCTGACAAGCTGTGCGTTGGTGCGTGCCCAGGATCTGAACCCGTGCCACCAGCAGTGGAGCGCACGCACTTAACTGCCACGCCGTGGGGCCAGCACCTGAACTAAGTTTTTGAACTGCAGTTGGTTTGTCACTAACAGTAGTATGAGTTTGAGATTCTGATGTATTCAAAGATTCAACAAATAAGTGAAAATGTTGTTGAAAAGAGAATGATTGTTCACTATGGAGGTGTTGATGCAAATAATCAATAATCATTCTATAGTAGAGAAAAGAAGAGAGTTTTATTGGAGCAAAACTGAGGACTATAGCCCAAGAGTCACATCCTTCACGAGGGAAGAAAGCACTTCGGAGAAGATCAATTATTAGTGCAGTTATGTACCGTTGTAAAACAAGGTTATGTACATCAAGTGTGACACAGGTACATTCCTTCAAGGGTTCAAGAAGAATATAGTTTCAGATTAGCACATATACAGCAGGTCAGCATGACCCTGGTGTAATAGAAAGGGAGGCAATAATTCTTATCTTCCAAGAGTTCGTTCTTTACTATAGGGTAATGATTAAAGCAGATATTCAGAGTATGTTTGACAAGCCATTAATCAGGTTCAAATAAAACTGAGGCCAAATCAAGTTCAAACCAGAATGGTTTCCCCATATATTTAATACATAAAATTTTTCTTATCATCTACCCTTTTTAATTATTAATATTTTGATAGAAAGCATTGATGATCAAATATTGTCCTTCAATGCCAGGGTCATTGCTTCCTGTCATGGGTCCATCATGTCCCTGGAGCTGGGCTTCATTTCAGTTAACCTGCCCAGTAATCCACACTGGGAGGAAATAGCAGAATAAAATTGACAATCATAGAGGTGCACACTGACAATGGAAGTAATTTTATAGGTTATATATATTTTTAATTACGTCGAATTGTCACACAAACATTGTATGTGTGTTTCACATGACATTTTGTGATTACATTGTTTATAACATTTATAGAAGAGATACAATAACAATAATAAGAAACCAGCTATAATATTTGAAGTAGCTAATATGGGCATGGATTTAAAGAGACAAGAGAAGACAAGAGAAGAAGCCAAAGAATCTGTTACAGGTATTTTGGTAACTTTGTACTAATTTAAGTATTTATTTGCCTCCTTTATCCACTATTATGTGCACTTTATGATAAGTTTGGGAAGACTAGTTTAATATGGTAACAAAATCTTCAGTTGTCATTTGTAAAGATTTTTCAGGCCTATTAGATTCCATTGAAACTACATCTTGTGGTGGATGTGGTTCTAATTCCCAAAACATTTGATCATCGATATAAATATTAGTATAAGTAAATATTTATAAGTATAAGGTGGTTCTATTTGACTAGCAAAGCTGGTATTACACCATAGAACAGTAAACTTATGGTAAAAAGTACTTTGATTACAATAGAGGTCAGAAAGTATGACAGAGATATTTCATAAATCTTCCCAACAAAATTTCTCTTTACCCATATACCATATATTTGTTTGCATGGGTGTGGTTGGTATAGGCCAAGTAGAAGAAAATTTGGGGTTGTGGTGCTGTTTGGGTCATAGCCACATACTTTGTCGGAATTCACAGATTTGAGTGGATTTAGAGTTCCAGTATGAATTATTTGATAATAAGACCCATCTTCCTCCAACAGGGAGAATTCTGATAGAATTTAAAGTGGTCCCAATTCCTACTACTTGAACAGCATCAAAGGTGTAGCTTGTTATAAGTTTAGGTACTAAAGCTGTGACTGAACACTTACATGAATTACAGGATCTTTTAAATTGGAATCTAGGAAACTTTCTTTATCCTCCTGATGATAGACTTGAGTTAAGAATTTAGAGACTCATAGCAGCTGGTCATACTAGCATAAGACCACAAGGGATCAGCAGAAGGTTGTGTGCCAACAGACACTGATGCTGATGACCACCCCATGGGGGTCAGTTCTTGTTTTCCAAAGGGGGCAATATGAGCAGATGTCAAGACCAAAGGCAATAGTTTAGTCCAGGGTAGTCCAATAAAAAAGTATATAACAAAACATCAAAGAAAATTAAGAGGACTAGAGTCCAACATCTGCAAAGGTGCAACATAATTTTCTCTCCACAATTACCCTCATTTTTACCAAAGATAATCACAGTAAAACTAATTTGCTTATAATAAAAACTCGGCCAGATTATTTATGTAAGTGAAAATAAGAATACTTACTGAGAGTTTCTGAATTCTGGAGGGTTCTGGTAGGGAGAAAAAGTAAATGTTTCATCTTTGTTCACAAAGGTTTATCTTACCAAACTGTTGATAACTTAAGAGAAAAGATTTATTTAAATTTGGAAAAACAAAACATTAGAGCATCTTCCTTGGATTATGTAGTTATATGTAATTAACATTTGATCTTGATCTTTTGTTAGCAGTTTTATGAAGCCCTAACTCTCTCCATTAGAGTTCGTTTTATGATCAAAAGTATATCAGAAACCTGATTTCTAGAATAAGTGTCAGATGTCTTGCATGAATCTCTCTGAAGATGAAACATATTTGCAAAAGCATCAGATTAAAACAATAACTATCTATAGAGGACAAAAGACTTAACATTATAAAGCAATTGAAAAGGAAATTTGGTTATTTCCATGATATAACTTTTTAAGATAATAACTAGGATTATGATGATAACCAGGACAGATCAAAATTTTAGGAATTTATATAATTTTAAAGCACTTATATTAATAACATTTACAAATACAATATAACCTAAGGAGGTTTATCATCATTTATTTTACAATGCTTTCCATGTAATTAAACATGCGAAATAAGCCGAATTAGTTTAATATCTCCCTCTTTATAGGAAGAGAGAATAAATGCTTTGAGAAGTTCCAAGGGCCCACTGAAAATTCTCAAAGTTACTTTTAGGTCAAAAGAAAGAGTTCGTTTTGAATTTGAGTTCTGGGAAGTTTGTCAAAAATATCAAAAGGGGGCCGGCCCTGCGGCTTAGCGGTTGAGTGTGCGCGCTCCGCTGCTGGCGGCCCAGGTTTGGATCCTGGGCGCTCACTGATGCACCGCTTCTCCGGCCGTGCTGGGGCCGTGTCCCACATGCAGCAGCTGGAGGGATGTGCAGCTATGACATACAACTATCTACTGGGGCTTTGGGGGGAAAATAAATAAATAAAATCTTTAACAACAACAACAACAAAATATCAAAAGGTTTTAGAACACTTAGTTAAATAGGATCATAGGTCACTGTGAAACAATGCTTATCTATCCATTTCACCATGGTGACCATTAAAGATTTTCAGGCAAATATAGAAATTTAAATAGTTTTAAGAAAAACCTTAGCTCTTGTGATTAAAGACCTGATAAAACCAATACAGGAAATTTATTTTGATAAAACATAAAATCTCTTCCTTTTTGAGACTACTCAAAGTTAAAGAAGAAAAATCTTTCATAATCTTTTTGTCAAGAGCAGACTAAAAGTCCAAGAAAATTATCCTTTTAAGAAAAAGAAAACCAAATTCTAATTTTTGTGCCAGCATAGTTTTGATATTGAAACTATTTTATTTAATTAAACTAAATTCAATCTTACCCAACTTGACCATGCAAAAACACTTTCCTCAGGGTTTCTCTTCCACAAAACTTCTATAATTTTATTTTTAATTCAGAAGTTTTCCCATGACTTCCCTTCTTCCTAGTACTTTAAGACAAATTTACCTTTCCTAACAAAAGAATGAAGCAAGAATATCTCCATTGTTTATACCTTCTTTACTGAAAACACACATCTTACTTTCCCTGTATACAGAGATGTTTCCCTTATTCATTACATCAATACACTGTGGATTGGCAGACTTTAC